CAAAGGGGACAAATGGCCTTTGATCTTGGAAACAAATTGCAGGGAGTTTCTAACTTTAGAGAGGGTCAGAGACAGCTCCTGGATGGATGAGCAAAGATACACTTTATTTGAATAAATTAAAAGAGAAGAATACGCCTTTACTATGAAAATTTGTGCACGTGAGGAACAAACTAGATTTGCTCTTGCAATTCTCCAAAGACGTCTTTGCACGTCTTTGCTTTTCTTTCTTTCCTTCTTCTTTTCCATTTGTCTCAGGTAAATTAATGTATGTCTGTTGTTCAGCAGTTTCTGTTGTAATTTCATAAGTTTTCTATTGGATTAAACTCTGAAATTCTGTGACATCTACACTCGTTGTTTTCTGTGTGACTTCACTTCTGCCCGCCAGGAGAACCTGGGATCCATGAGGAGAAGATAGAGCCAGAGATTTTCTTAAGATATATTATAACCTAAAATCTTCTTCAATATTAGCCACCAATTCCTACACAGTCCTGCAGTCAGATGGGGGTTGCAGTCTCAGGGTGGAGTTGTGTTTGTTTGGCTGACAGCAGGTAGTTTCTTAATCTGTAGACAATGGGTAAGACATAGAGGATTTGCCTTGTGTAGGTATTTTGGGTCCTGTACCACTCAATGGGCCACATTATCTTGGGTCACTGAGCCGACTGCATTGTGACATTTTATCTTCCTTGCTGCCATGAAGTTATGTACAAACTGCTTGTGGTGCCTTCTCTGATACTACTATCAATATTTTTGTCCACTTCTTGAAACACACACATCATTCACACATTTCACACAATATGCTGTCTATTTTCATGGAAAAAGCTATAATGATGTAGTCACTTGCACATGCAACAAGCATGGACATTTCTAGTTGCTATCATTAACTAACTATGACTTTCTGATTGGTAGATCAGCGGCTGTTGATATTTGCCCTATTGGTTCTGCTCATTTTGTTGTCCAGTCTGCTGCCAGGGTGTTTTTCATTCCAAGCAATGAATGAAAAACACCCTGCTAATGAGCTAATGAGGAGACAAAAGAGACAAAATCAGTAGATGTAACTTTCTCAAAGGTAGAAAAATCTGCCCAGTCAACCAACCTCCATATGCTCTTTGGATAAGATACAATTTTTGTACAATAGGTTAATGATTACTTCACTTTTTAAATTTTTTGCTCTCAATATATCACCACATGTGAGTTTGTATGCACGTGTATATAAATGCCTGTGCACAGTTCTGTGTAACAGAGCAGCATCTGAGGTGCCTGAGGTGCCAGAAAGAGCCTCAGCCAGGGGACTTTACCACTAAAACATACAGAGGCATGCACCCAGACACACATACATGCACACACACATACACGCACGCACACACACACACACACACACAAATATTGCTTATTCAGGTTACTATCATCATCTCCAACCGTGTGGATGTTATCTTCCTCACTTCATCAATTAAAGGTCTCTGCTGCGTGCTTGAGATTTGGCAAATGGTCCCAAAGCCCCAGAAGAGCAGCACACACTCACTGTTCATGTCTGCGTGTATGTGTACATGCAGCCATGAACAGAGGAAGATGTTCCTGTAGTGCACACATGCCAACCAAATTCACAAAATTGTTAATGGTGAAGATGATGGTGCATTAAACCAACGTTTTAAGGAAAAGTCTGAACACACACCATTAAAAACAATGGTGTGTTTTTAATGGTGTTAAAAAAACACCATTGCTATGAGATGAGTGTGTGACATTTTGTAGGACTGTGTGTTACTCAGACAGATGAGCTTTGTGTCATTCTGCAACTCCAAACTGTTGAAATAAGTAAATGTGTGGGTTTGTTTCTGTACATGGAGCTCTGTGATTCATACTGTTAAAGACATTACAAGTGACACAATGTATTAATCACAGTAATCCAATTCTCTTTATCAGTAGCTGCTGCTGCGCTTTAATGAGCAATTCACATAGAGACACTCTCTCAAAAACAGGGTGCTGTGGCAAGATAACCAACCCACAAACTGTTCCTCTGAACCACACACGTTCCTGTCAGTTTCACATCAAGGGAAGAAAAGTATGTTTTATTTGATGAAAAAAGCTTAAAATGTATGGCTGATATATTACTTTTTTCTTCACTTTTGAAAGGAAATAATATAAATAAACTATCCCTGCACCAAGACGCTTTATGATTGTGTACCTTGTGTTGTCCTTTGGGAGCTTCCTCAGAAACGGACCAGAGCCTTTAACTATAGGCTATTTTGTTCTTGTTCCACTGGAAGGAGAGTTTGTTTAGCATTGTCAGCTGTAAGTCTGGTTTGTTCCCGGTGGGTGTTGCACTCTGCTAATCTTTTGTTTCTGTTTTCACTCCAGTCCTTTAATAATTTGTAGCTGCAGTAAAGATATGGAGGGATTCTAGTTTGGGCATTCTACAGTTGTATCATTCTGTTAGACAGATGGTGTAACTCTCCTACTGTCACCAAACAGAGACATAAGACACTGGGATGTTTGCAGATATGTCTGAAGGAACTTCAGGATTTTAGAGCTGAATGAGTTTGTTCACTTCCTCCACTGCCATTACCAAAGTAATGACAGATTAACTGCAATTCTAAAACAGACAGAAAATCAACGTCATTATACACAACTCCTCCAAGAGGAAGTTGGCAAGAGGAAATTAACCTGGAAAAATCAAGCTCAGTGGGAGAAATCCCAGAAAAGAGATGAGAATAGAGTGGAATTGCTAAGGAAGGCAATGACCAGGCTAATTTTACACTGATGCTTTACAGATGGAACTTTATGGCAGTTTCCTGGGGATGGATGGATGGATGGATGGATGGATGGATGGATGGATTTTGGCTTCCCAATTGTGGTCTCACTCTGACTGCTGTAAGTGGGTCAGGAACATATGAGAGTAAACTACTCTGTGGAGCTTTGTCGCTAAATGAGTGCAAAATAAATACTCAGAATATTACTAATTAAATTAGATCATGCTGTTTTATATCATTAACAAAAATATGCCATGGCCTCGGCACAATCTGCATTCTGCTAATGTTAACCTCAGTACTCAGAACAAATTAGCTTTAACTGTTATATTACTTGACAGTAGTCAAAGACGAAGATAAAATATAATCAAAAGTGCTGGACTCTTATTAGCTGTCATGAATTATGCATGTAAATTTTAATCAGCTGGGAAGGCCAACCTGCAGTAGAACCCCCTTTGTGTTCCTGGAAGAAACAGTGATCACTGACCAATAGAGTGCGAGTCGCTTTGGCACTGCAACCTTATGCTGGGGGAGCTGCAGTCACGTTCAAGTGATTGTGATTGGCCTGGCTTGAAGGAAATTGATTTAGTGGCTTGAGGCTGGATATGAAGTGTTTCTGTGATATCGCTGCTTTGGAGAGCAGCAGAATGAGCGAACAACAGGGTTGGCTGGAGAGAAGGAATCAGCAGTAGTTTACCTCATGAGTTACTCTGTGGCCTGATGTAATCTCAGTAAGTTTCATTGGCTCTATGTCACACAACACTGTTCAGAGTTTCACTGTAGAATAGTTGGATAGAGAAAACAAGGGCAAAAAGGAGAGTCTAGAACAAGAGTGCCATTTTTCTCTGTTCACATGTTCAACTTCAGTCTTAAGTTGGACTGACTTTTCAGACAATGGCTCTAGCAGAGGTTTGTGATACTAAATGAAAGAGTTGTGATCATGAACAAGATACCTTTCTTTACGGAAGACCGCCAGTAATACTATAGTAACGCAGGCTACCTTTTCATGGGCCGCCCTGTAGTAGATGTTTCTTTGAAAATATTGGGTATGTTAGAAAGTTCAAAAACATGCATGATTTTGTGCATGAAAAAAACTATACATGGGATACAAACATTTTTTAAAGGGTTTTGTTGGCTGACAGTGCAGTGTGGAAGTGAACAGCAGCAGCTAGAAATGTATCAAATATTGTGATTTTTTTTCCAAAGCTGAGTCTACTGGACTATCAGGTGTGGAAATACCCTAGGAAGACAAGAAATTGGAACAGCCAATATTGTGACATAACAATGATTTAACATGTCTAACTTGTATGCTTTCTATAGTGGAACTTTGCTGTTGCAATTAATCTTACCAGTTTCACTTTTTCAGACTCTAGCCAGCCTAAACAATAAAAAGTTTCTCTTTATTTCCTACTTCTTGGAGTTGTGTATTTTCTTTAACAACATGGAAGGGTTTCCTGGGTTCCAGTAGCTGCAGCCTATGGTGACATACATGGGCTCCAAACCAAAAGGTCAGCTGTTAATGCTGCTAATGCAGTGAGAGAATCAGCATTGTGTAATATCTGCCATAGCATGATCATCTGTGTTAAAATCAATACTCCTTGGACGGTCAGACAACTTGGCACAGAGTTTCATCTACTGAGTTCAATCTGTGGCAAAGTGCCATCAATTTGTCACTGCTGATGCTCCATTCATTAGGCTGAACCAAGTGCTACACAGCCCCTTCAGATATATCGATGGTGTGCTTTAATGAGGCAGAATGGAATGCTTAAAATCTATTTATGCAATGTTTCAAATGACCCTGTAGAGTTTTCTTTTTGCATTTATGTGTCCATTTGACCTAAAACAATACTTTTTTTTTTTTTACTTTAAATCAAAACACCATGAAGCAGGAATCTTTCAAAGTCTCAGTCTCCAAAGCATGTTTGAGAAAGAGTGTTACGGTACCAACGAGGGTGATCATAAAAATATGTTGCTACCTGCAGGTGTGCCTTTATAGTGCTCTTCATGTGAACCTCCAATTTTTTGTCTGAATCCTATTTTTTACTTCTTTGAGTCACAAAATTTGATGGTATTTCCATCATGGACCATTTGTTTTCCTTTTAAATGCTCCTTTTATAGTACTTGTTTTATGGCATAAAAATAGTTAAGCTTGTTATCTAATGTAGAAAAGAAGACCCTAAGATAGAGCCAAGCTGTGAATGTACCACACAGTCACACATGGCCTTTAGACTCGCAGCCTAAATGATTTTTAGGACATTGGAAGAGGATGCTCTTTGTTTTCTGAATTCCTCAAATAACATCAACAGAAGACTCATTAGATCACTGAAAATAGACCAGAATCATAATGCTTTGTTAACCATATCAGTTGTGCTTCACTAAATACATTGCCATTCAGACTAAGTTATAGCAAGCTTGTTAGGAAATGCAGGGACTCATTTTGGATCTTTAGACAGATCAAGCTGGTTAAGCAGCAGTCAGATCATTCCTATAGGCTGATCACGCTGTTTGCTTATTCTTTCTGAAGCTAGGATGAATGACAGAGTTGGGCTAATTCAATCTATTTTCTGTTTATCCAACTGCTTAGTCAGTAATGCGAGTGAGATTGGACAACCAAGACTGAGTGAACCATCACTTTGTCTGACAGCGAATGCTTACTGATTTGCAGAAGCTGCTAACAGTCATATGGAAACATGAGTGTGGTATTGGTTGGCTTTGTATTTACTTAGGAAGGCAAAGCTGGATAGTTTTAGTGACTGCAGATGACATTGACATAATTACAAACATAAATTGCATATTTTATACTGCTCTCTACATTTCACCTTCAAAATAACATAATTACTAAATTAAAAAGTAGGCCAAGTGTTTGGTAAGCTGCCTAAATACAATCGGAGTGTCGTATCTCAAATCTATCACAGCTCTGTTCATTAGCATCTCTAACTTGTATCATGTCAAGTACAGACATGTCTGACTCATCAGTGCAGCTGAAGCAAACATGAAACTGTAGCTATGCTGACATGAAGCTGTTGGTCATTTTCCTACAATAAACATGACTGAAAGATTTCTATGCATTAATCAGAGAATATCAAGTGATTAAAAATCTTTTGGGACTGTGGCCAATGTTTTCATTTACTAAAGATTTTATATTGTGTTTTGAAAGCCAATGTGAAGTAAATTCAATGAGAAAAGCTTCCTGAACAGCTATAACATCTTTTGGTCCCTGCACCACTGCTAGATGGTTTTATACCTGATAGATCAGTAGACAAACTTACCACAATATTACATTTTAAGCTGTTGTTTTTCACTTTCACACTTCATTGTGTCAGACAAACTAAACCTTTTGAGCCAGCTGTGTGCGCCTTTACCTGTGGTGGCGCTGCACCAAGAACCACTGAAGGAAACAAAACAAAAACCTGAGAAGAAAAGGGCAACCTCCTTCTTTACAAAATATGAACAAAAATGGAGTGGAAATTTCAGCAGTTGTAAGATTTCTCTCGGGAGAAATGACTCGTGGTCTTGTGGGAAAGACTAAAGTCCCACAAGACCACGAGTCATTTCTCCCGCTAGCTCCAGACTTGTGTGTCTGTCATTAATGCAGTGGACTGTCCACTGCCAGACTTTGGAGCGGTCTCTGGTCCACTTGGCATTCGAACGTGCATTCAGACCAGAGACCCAGGTTTTTATTTTATTTTATTTTTTTACTTTATTTAAGATCAAGCAGTGTGCATACATAAGAACCATCCTCGACAGAGGATGTTTAAACATATTAAGGTATTGAGTCCCTAGACGCCATCTTTGTAGAAAAATGTCCATTTTCAATTGGACCTTTGAAGGCAGGTCCAACTGCCTTCAATAACAACTTAATAATAATAAGACAAAGCTATTAGGTTATGGAACATAACTTAATGTTATTCTTTTTAGTTGGAGGGAATAATTTTCTCCAATTCACAGTAATAGTTTTCGTTTCAAGCAGTAAAATAAAGTGTAATATCTCTGGTCTTTGTGAGTCAGGGTTTCACATTCACTTCCTTTTTGTAACATTTTCTGCTGAGAGATCAAAGGTAAATGTTGAGGTGAGAAAATGAAGACCCTGTGTTAACGAAATGCAACGTTTCTTTACCTTCTGTGGACAAACTTTGGGTTTTTGTTGCTGTTTGCATGCTCTCTGGGTGTTTTGCTGTCTGCCTTTGATGCATGAGGTAGATTGTTTGATAGAGACATGACAGCTTCACACACTTGTGTGTATGCGTATGTGTGTTTGTGTGCTTATTGACAGCTTCAGATTGCTGTGAAACGCACAGAGAGAGCAGTCTATTCCCTTTTCAGTCTGAGGCACAGGCAACATCCATCACCACTGTCAGAGAGAGGAGGAAGAAGAGGGAGGGAGGGAGGAGTGACAGGTGAAGGAATGATCTTAATTCTGAGGGGATTTTTATGTTTAAGGGTTGAATACACATCTAGTTCCATTAGAAAGCGAAATGGAGAGGTGGAGGCATTCGAAGACGAGACAAATCTGGTTTCCTTTTGCTTTCCTTCGTTGTGTTTGATGTTTCCTTTTTCACATTTTTTTCCTCTATAGCTTCATATACCACAGTAAACAAACATACACATCATTTATTTTGCAGGCGCAGTGGCCAAGCTAGAGCAGAATAACGGGAAACATTGAAGACTTTCTTTTCTTTGTCTGTCCTTCAAAGCTAAACATTTTTCAGCTCTCCTTTTCTGATCCTATCTTACATCACATTACCCCCTCTCAGATATTCATTCTACTTTTTATTCCATCTATTTATTCACCTGATTATAGTTATACAGTGAAGGGGCTGTGCAGAATGTAGAGGAAGAGCGGCTGCTGATAGTCCTCAGCCGTCCAGGATTTGATTCCCTCTGCTTTTTCTACTAATTTCCTATCTGATTTGTTGTAAATAAAAGCCACTAGTGTCAGAAAAGCCATTTACATGCTGCATTGGCACACAGTTGTTAAGAGTCTGAGACCTTGAAGTCAAAGATGAAGGATGCTCACTCAATATGTGAGCTAAGATAAAGGTGCTACATTTTTACACAGCAGCAATTATGATATTTTCTTGTCTTGTTACTTTAGCACTTTCTAAACTCTTTATTATCCACATAAGATAGTGTCACTGACCATGTTAATGGATAATACAGAGTACATTACAAGAATCATTTTGTAGCCCTTACAAACGATAGCAAGATGCTTCATGCTCAGCTGCTTTAAAATGTGGTTGTCGCTACAACGATGAAGCACGAGCAGCCAAAGTTTGTATTAGTTCATCACATAAACACAATGTATGTCCTGGTTGCTTTTGGTTAATTGGATTATTGAGTATCTGTAATAACGGTGATTATTTGAAAACTGTTGGTATATTTGAAAAGGAAAAACAAGGTTATAAAGTGATATGGATGGATAAAATGCCAAAGGCTACACACTATATTTTGCTATGTTCTGCTTAATCAAGGAAAACTGAAGGAAGAGCAGCCCAATAAATGTGTCACCTATTTTCACGTCCCTCCTGAAAACAAGCAAGCTAGATTCTGTGTATACAGAGTTAAATTGTTAGAAAGCTTCATGGAAAAAAATGAGGTCAGTGACCATTATTAGCCTATAGCAGGACTAAGATCACTCCAAAAAATACATTGGTGAAATATTTCAGGGCATATTCCATCAGAAGGCGGCTTGTTATAGCTGGACATTGTCACAGCAAGCATGGGTCCTTTATCAATCAATCCATTGTCTACACCTGCTTATCATTGCAAAGTGTAAAGGAGTCTCTAGTCTCTAGTTTCTAGTCGTTGGGTGAGAGGCTGGGTTCACAAGGCAAAGCAACCGTGCTGCCAACTATTCTCTGGGCTTCATTTCTAACTATCAACCAAGAGTCTGGCCCAGACATAGAACACATGATGTTGGCTTCCATCTCAACGACTTTTGATCCTTGATTAAAGTTCTTCTTTCTTTCTTCATGGTTTGATTTCTGCCCTTGGGACCTTTACTTTATGTCTTCTCCCCTTCTCTCTCTGCCCATTTCCTATCTTACTAGCTTGAATAAAGGTCACTAGTTCCACAAACGCAGTGGCAAGACAGGAACACGAAGACATCTATTGTGAAGCCACCTGTGAATAGATCAAATCTGCAGATACCAAAGATCCTCTCTAAAAACACTTCTCACTGCCTGTTTTGATAGTTCAAACACCAAACTTACTTTATATGTATACTTACTTTATATGTAAAGTAAGTTTGTAGAATACACTCGGTACACTCAGTAGAAACAATCTTAGCACCACCACAAAAACTAATATCTTGTGAATAGACAGGGGTCCACTGTACTGATGTCTCAATTGTTGACTTTGGACAGAATATGAGTCATTTCTCTAGATTCAATAAAGACGATAACTGGCCAACCCAACCCAGTCAAGCAACATCTTATTGGGCTGAGACTTGAAGGATGTTGATTTTCTGCGCTGTTTAGAATTGTAACCTGCCTGTAGTTTTAGTGATGACAGCAGAGAGAGTGAAGGATGCGGTTCAGTTCTTGTTGGTCAATAACTGAATTAACATTAAGACCCATCTTGTTCAGATAGGCAGTTCTCTCTTTGCAGTGGAGGATGATTGTTTACATCATTGGAGACAACCGATGAGCTTCATGACACCAAACATTAGTGATTGCTAAAATTTTAAAACTTTGTCAGAGTCCTCGCCTTCAGTAAATAATCCCACATTCAGACCCTCTGAAAGAAGCAAATAGTGTGAAACAAGGACATGGTTTTTTTAACCAGGCTACTTCCCCAGTATTCTTTTCGTTCTTTTGATTCATGAAAATGTTGAAGATTATTTTTTGTCATCAGGGTCATCTAAAGGGGATCAAACTGTTGCTTGTTATGTGTGCTAACTTTACCTAAGAAACATTTCCACTCAATGGAGCATATGAATCTATACGATCTGACCAGATGTATCTTCTCTGTCTTCATCATTTGGTCATTTGGTATGGAAGCTTGCTTTGAGGCTCTTTAGCTGACCGGTATCAACCTGCTTATCCATCTCTCCTCTGCAGTTAGAGGAGCAGAAAGGGAGCTATGTGATTACACTGTAATTGTGTTCTTGACTTGAGGAGATCACTCAATCACGATTGCAGAGCCTTTGCTTGTGACAAATCATGCTTAACACACCAGGCTTGGATGATGCTTCTTATTGCAACCTGCCCTGTTCTGCAGATGTTTTATTTTCTCAGTGCAGATTCTGAAGTGACCTCAAGTTAAGTAACTTTAAAGAAGTGTCAAGTATGATGAGCTCATCCAGAAACAGCATACAAAGCAATCACTCATTCTCTCAAATGCATATAGTTTATCCTCTCAAAGAATACGTGAGACACATTTGAAGAAGTTCCACTTGTACATAATAAAAGGACATCAAGGACTGCAAAAATTGTCATTCCAAAATATCTGGATCAGGTTAAAGTCAAGTTAGAATTTCTCTGAAATGTAGTGGAAAAAGTACAATCTATATGTGACTGAGTCACATAAATGTGTTAGCCTTTCCTCTGTCTAACTGCATGCGTGTGTGTGCGTGTGCATGCGTGTGTGTGTATGTATATCTACAACAACTGTCAATGAGTTCCATTTTTTGCACCATGATGCTCTTTTAAATTTTTCTTTGGAGTAGACTGTAGCCTCAGCAGGGACAACACAAGTTAGTTCTGCTAGGAGAGATTTGTTCCCCAGAAAAGTGACCACATATCCTTTTAATTCTTCCTCTATAATACATAGTCCATCCTAAATCCTTTGATGAACTATTTTTTGCACCCCAAGAACCAATTAAACCATAGATTAGCTTCTTTCAAACTAGCTGGGAAAAGATAACCCTTACATTCACTAACAAGATAAATCTCCTATGACCCACTTCCTGTTTCAGACACATAATTATAGTGTCTGAGTTGTGAAATCCCTAATGCTCAATATTGTCAAGCAATAAATTCTCTTATTGTGTTTTTACTTTCTGTATATCTCCCAGGTCTACCCTTGTGTTCATAGGGCCTTCCATTACACTGTTTAATTATGTGTGCTAATTATTTAGCCATTATAATTTCACAGTGTGTTAATGCTCAGTGGTAATGTTCCTCTTTTGCCAAGTTTTTGCTGAACTGTGACAAAACATTGTGATCCTGCAGGGTCCCTGACTCGTCTGCTTCAAGCTAAATTTCAAGATGTAAAATACAGCACTTACAGTAAGGGCAGCTGTTCTTAAAAGGTTGAAATGTAAAATCTTAAACTCTTTAGAGAAGCAATGACATCCCTCTGCTTTGAGACTAAATTCAGTTTGTATAATGTTGATACTGATGAGACTAGAATACAACAGGATCAAGAACAAATAATTCTTACACCAGATCTCTGAACGTGTTGTATGACAACTGTATATGTTTAAACACTTAGACTTTTATTTCTACATAATTGTTGGAAGTAAAGGTTAATCTTTACTGAGATGGGTTACTGTGAATCTCTAGTATCCACATGGATATCACGGATCACAATTTCCTGTGAAAATGTAAAATCTGTGAGTACTTGAGACGCCCTCTAAAAATAATTAAAGCTGCCTCTTTTAATAGTTGACACTTTATATACATTAATATGCATGATTACACACGGTGGAAACCATCTTTTTTCTTCCATTGGGTCAAAGGCCAATCAGCACCAATGACAGTAAATGGCGCTTCTAGATTGGCTGGTGTGCAAACATCAACCAATAGCATTGGAATTAGCATTGTGTCTTGGTATTTCTGCTTCCTAGCTGCATTTATTTTGAATATTTTGCTGTATGAAAAAAATCCATGAATAGGGACATTTTCCACAAATAATTTTGAGTTATGTTCTGCAGAAAAATACCCAAAATGGGCACAATGGTTAGGCGGGGGTTCACTGTACGGAAAATTCTCTTGTAGCCTTCTGATGCTGTTTATGGCTTCATTTCAGTACTGCTTTTTGGCTTGTTAGAAATTTTGGGCTTCATGTTTGCAGACCTTGTGATAAACAGATTACTTTCCTGTGATTCACTGTGAGTGGTCTACCAAGAAAAGGCTGGAAATCTCATTCCTGCTTCTCCCATCATGTGTTGAAGTTGGACTTGAAGTTACAAAAATGTAACTTCAACAGATGTTTTTTTGTACTTTCTTTTACAGTGACCAGAATAAAAAAAAATATATGTTTCTCAAATTGATGTATTTTATCACATGCATTTTATTTCTTTCTAGTAGTTTCTGCTTTATATTTATACCCCCTCTTCATTAATATAAAAGGAAATCTTCCTTTTAAGAATGCTCAACACTAAGCATGAAAATATCTGTCATGGATCTCCAGTGAAGTAATATATGTCAGTATTTTGATTTTTAGCTGTCATGCTCCCCCAACTGCACCTGCAACCACACCCCCACACCCACTTCCATAAAATCATTTTGATATTCCCCCAGATGTGATGAAATGTAATGTCATTAGTCAGTTTTCAGGTGAGATGCTTCCTCACCCAAAAACCTACCATCTTTGACTTCCTCCCTTTTCCCCAATAAATGCAATACATTTTTTTTTATCTCCATTAGAATGAGAAGAACCTGATTTTGAGAGATGAATCAGTAGATTTGTTTGCCTACCACTGTCCTTGTTTTGCTGTGAGTCTGAGGTGTTATCACAGAACGCATACATTCCTGCAGAGTTGTGGGTACAGATGTAATGCTGTACTTGAAGATCAAAATTCAGCACAAAGCACATATTGTGCAGAAACCCAATGTTATTAGTGAATAGCAGTGTACGTATGTGGAGTTTTTGTTCCGCCAGGGTGGACCCTAACAGCTCCATCTGGCTGTGTGTTCATGCCAGCCCACAACTTTCCAGATCGGACTGAGCAATGACCTGTCTGTCTACGAGCCTCTCAGCTCAGCTGCATCTATCAGCCTCTGCCCCCACAGCTCCCTGCCTGCTTCCTGTCTCTCCAATGTATTCTTTTTCTGCTGCCCCAGGTTCATGTCACACCATAACAGGATTCATCCAAGTCAAGGGTTAGATAAAGAGCAGTAGGAGGGACTGAAATGAACTGGGAAAGAATCCTCCTTTTCATCTCTCAGCCTCTTACTGTCTCACTGTCCCTACAAGGCTTTGCAAACTGTGATGGAGCGCTGCGTCTGTGCTACAGGTCTCTGCCCTCACCCAACCACTGCTCTAATCCTGTTTCCTCTCTCATAGACTCCATGATAGACTATTTTTGGGTGCATTCATGCTTTGAAATAGTTTGTATGAGCTATTTCATGCATATTGTATAGATGGAGAGCCTGCTGTGTCTCTTCAGGGGCCAGGATATGTGAGTTTGTTGGTCAGCGAGTCCGCAGAGATGGATAGTGATGATATATGATGGGACACACACCCCAGAGGTCATTCTGGGAGCATGGTGCATTACAGTGATTGAAGCCGATAATGCACCAACAGACTCCATGCTATGTCCCTTTTAACCCAATCACAACTTTGCTGATGGCGTACCTCGCCATCTGTGCTCCTTTGATTGGATGGAGGAATGATTGATGCACACTTGAACCCATTCCAGTGACTTATTGTATCCTGCTGTAGTCTTTAAGACAAGGCTTCATGGCCATTTTTCAGATGGGTACACAAGATAGTTTCCTGCGTCATCCTTCAATCAGGAGCTCTTTGATACAAAGCTGAAATACAATTACAGCTTTTTACAACTCAGAGGCATGGCGTTTTATCTACCTGATGTGAGTTCCAATCTTTTAACAAAAATAGAGGATTGTGAACTTTCTGTTAGTGCTATTTGGAGCTGGGTGGTTTCCAAATGAAAAACAGTGTGCTTAAGGTGTAGAAATGAGCCTCTTTGGGCAACACTCATACATATCAATCAATTTAAAAGGTACAGTTGTAGAGCAAAGCTTTTCATCTAGTTTTTATTACAATGCAGAGACCCACAACCATGAACATAAGTTTGGAGTCGTCATTAGACTGGACATGCATGTGTTTGAACTGTGCTAGGAAACTGATGAACCTTTATCTTTACATATAATATACTAAATGAATCTGTCTCAAATAAATTCAAGCGACATCACATTTAATTCATCAAGTTGTTTTATATTAATTAAATGTTGTCACTGTAAAAGCTTTACCTTTTCAGGGAATGTTTTAAGGAGTGTGGTTATAATTTTATTTTTTTTGACATTCTTCCAAAATGGATTTGTTAGATTACATTAGTGTCTGCACTAATGTAGGGTGAGAAAGCCTTTGCAGACTTTACAAAGTTTTCATTCAGTTTTTTTCACACCAAACATATTGATTAATATCTTTACAACTTTTGCTTTGCGGGAAGTCTTATTGGAACTAAAAGTGTTGACAAACAAAGGTGGAAGCCCGCAGTTCTGTACTGAAGAATTTCTCTGGAACACGGAGTCCAAGCAGCCTCACATCACGATCTTTTCTGTGCTAAACTTCTTGACAAACTGCTATCTGACCATTACTGTTCTCTTTTTAACAATCAGACCCAAACTCATCAACTGGATGAACTAAGTCTGACTGGTGACATGTTTTCCAGCACAACATCCAGGGTTTTGCACTGTAGTTGGTGAGAAGGGTTGAATGCAGTTGTTCTATTACAGAAAAATAATTCCTGAACTAATCAGGTGATCAGATGGAGTTTAGAGGTCTGAAAATACAGACTGCAGAAGGTTGGTGAACTTGTTGCGTCTCAACATCCATGGATTTTTAAAATGGCTTTAAAGTTTATGGATGAGTTGCTGGTGGTTAGGGTTAGGGAACACCAGCAACACCTGTGGCCTTGAAAGTGACTGCAACACCTGACTTTAATGGCCAGTAGCGGTGAGTGGAGACTAGATAGTATGTGTAAGATGTATCAAACCTGATACCATCTGAGTACCACTGAACCAGTAAGTACTCTTTGGGCAGCAAGCCTAACTAATACATACTGAGGCGATTCACTTTGTTAGTAAGGCGTAAACTTGCTTCTGTTTGTGTTTTTTTGCACTGTATCCTTAGGTAATCTATTTTTACATGTGTGCTCCAAAATGCTCTCTCACTCAGTAAATAGTTTTCCAAAATCTTCAGTATCTGAGAAGATTAAACATGACTAGCTAATGGCCGTATCATTTTCTATAAAGTATCAATAGCAGTAGGGTGAATATATGATTTAAAAAGATTGAACATGAATTGATCCCCTTTAATCAATATGTGAATCACCAGTTTTCAAAGAAAACTAGAGCACCACTGCAATATATGATAGATCCTCTGTAACTTGAGTGTTTGCTTTGCTCTGTTCCCTTTGGTAAGTCTGTTTTCTCCAAACTGTATCTAACTGACTGTACTGTCTTTATTTTGGAGCATGATCCTAAATATTGACTTCCCAAAAAGTCAATAAAGCATCACCGTGAGAGCTGCTTAGCTGTACCAGGCAGGGCTAAATGATAATACTGGCCATATTTTTATGCTCATCCTTTCACAATCAGCCTCTGTAAATAACACCACATGAGATAAAGGAACATAAAATGAGTGCCTCTTAATAAAAGAGCTATTTTTATGAAGAATTTTTGATTTGAATCAGGAGAAACAAAGAATAATTGTACTTTATATAGATCACATTAAATGGACTTACATGTGATGCATGTCAGCATTGTGATGCCAGCAAAATGCATGTTTGCAAAATGCTGTCATTAATACTGTCTATTATCTTGTTAATACAGCATTTCATTATGTTACGCCACCAACAGGACTAAAACGGCCGTAAACATTCTTTTCTTTTCCTATTTGGTGTCGGTGCATGTCAGCGTTCCTACTACCCTCCGGTGCTCCCACTGTGTCGGAGTCTCAGTGTAATACAGGTTCTTCAGAGAACAGCTGAAATGTTGCTCCAGTAACTTGGTGCATAATTCCCTGTGCCTGGGGAGCAGTGCCTGTTAGCTTCATTTCTGCAGAATGTTGTCTCCCGGTGGTGAGAGAGGCCAAAATAGAACAAAGTAAAGCATGTCAGGGTAATAACAGATGAATAAATAACTAAATGGAAAAAAAAAAAATCTCCATCCTACCACAGCACTGCAAAGCCACATCTTTCACTTACCGCTAAAAAATTAATACCAAAGAAAAGCCAAATTCAGATGAGAGCATAATGACTGCCATGACTTGTTTATGGAAGAGGAATAGGGCCACCAAAAAAAAAAAAAAATAACTGAATCTCTGATATCTGGCAAATTATTCATATAAGCTTTCAATGCAGCAAGAATCTAAAAAAAAAAAAAAAAAAAAAAAAACTTCCTGAAAACAGCAAAACAACACTGAGTTTCTTTTCCATCTGGTTAGAGTGGGCTTTCAACCATAATAAATGGAACATTGACCAATATATTTGATATGTTGATGTTTTTGATGAAGGTACTCAACAAAATGTAATGTTTGTTGCTAGTTTCTCAAATTGGTGACTGTTTGATGTTTTTATTACTTTTTAGTAATTTTTACTACTTTTTTACTAATTTTAGTGTTTTTTATACATATTTTTGTGATGTAAAGCACTTGAGCTGCCATGTTGCTAAAATGTGCTGTACAAATAAACTTGATTGATTGACTGATTGATACAATGTAACTTATTTTCCATTATTCAGAAGAGGGAATTAAA